CCTTTTCTATTTCAAATAATAAAGACAAAACATTGAAATCATTTTTGGAAACTATTGTAAGCTAAAAGTTCCTCAAGATTTAAAAAGAAGAAGAGAGATCTTTCCTTTTTGGATCGAAGATAAAACAATCGAAAATGAGGAGAAAGAGTTCTGCCCATTAATCCATACGAATTAAAATGTATGTTATGTGGTGTTTCATCTCGCTACACTTTGCCAAAATGTGTGTTATTTTGTAGAATGAGAGAAAATTTGTTACGTATATGGTAATATATGTCGGCGTATTGATCATACCGAATGCAAGTTGGGTGAATTAGATCGTTTAATAGAGAAGATTAGAACTTTGAAACTCCGTTTTCCAAATTAATTTTTCGAGTATATATCATGTTCATCTTCTTCATATGATTGATGAAATGGAAAGACTAATCGAATTAATTCGTTGGATAAACGTTGTATTTTGCATTAATCATGTTTTTACTTCACACATGAACTTCGAATTTGAGGCATTGCAAAATGCTATCTAAAACATTTACATCATGTTTCTACATGATATTCCTCAGTGCGTGGACACCTTTCGTTTTAAACATCTTTCGTTTGAGGACTTTGTCATCAAATTTTTACATTTTGACGAAGAAAATAAGCAATGGAACAGTCGATTTTAGTGTTAATAACATGAATCCTCTTTTTTGGTAGAAATCTATATACTATCCTTGTTTAGGAGATCTATTTTCTTAAACATTTTAACGGATAAAGATAAATATGTAGTGATCTGGAAAACGATGAACATTTTTTTTTGGAAGGAGGTGGCTAATATTATTAAAGGAAATTGGCAAAAATAACAAAAAAAAAATTTATAATCTAAAATCTAACCAAAAACACAATATCCAATGGCTATGATTTTGCCACATACCCCCATTTTACTTACTTTTTAATTAACTTTTTTTTTTGGTTATTCATGCAATTGCAATAAACCCTATTATTAAGATATAAGAAATTGGCAATTATAGTAAAAAAAAAAAACATAACCTATTATCTAACCAAAACACCCTTATCAAAACTATAGCCATTAGATTTAGGTGTTTTGGTTAGATATTATGTTTTATTTATTTTTTGGTTATTTTTGTAAATGATTCTTAAGATATTTGTGTTTTTTTTTTTGAAAAAAAAAATAGATTTCGGTTAGATTAGAAAAAAAAATTGAAACAATGACCAATTTTTTTTTTTTAGTAATTTAACAAAAATAACATTATGCAGAGAAAATAAAAATAACAAAAATAATTATTTTAGTCAATTTTCCAAAAGAAAAAAAAAACTCAAAAAAGGAAAGAGAGAAGATTTCCGCAATTGCGAAGTGTCAAGTTCGATTCTCGGCACGTGGAGTAGCTATGATTTATTAACTAAACTTTCCTCACTTTTTGACGAAATCAAATAACGTTTTTTCTTTTTCAACCATTTTTGGTAAACGTTTGTGTGCGCCGCTTGGGCCGAGTCACTAGTTTGGTCCACTTTCAAAAATTGCGGCCTCTAAACCAAATCCACACGCTCTCTCTCCTTAATTACGATCACAATATAAACATTATAAAATTTTAAATAATTTTATCAATAACGTAATCAGAATGATCTCTTCCTCTTCTCCACCTCACCACGGTGACCTCACACACACGGCAAAATATAATTTGGTCGATTTGGTTATTGAATTGGGTTGATTACATTCAGGACACTTTCTTAAATTTTTAGTTTTACAGAGACACTTTATTTTATAGGGACACTTTATACTGTTTTGGACACATAGACAAAAATACTTCAACTTGATTCTCGTGTTGGTTTAATAACAAAAAAGACAAAACTAATTTGGACCATTGATTGATTTTCAATTTTGTGGTTGAGATTTTATCCCTCTCTCTCTCCTTCTCATCTTCTGCATTTTTTTTTAGATAGAGCCGATACTTCTTCATCAACCACAATCAACTCAAATCTCTCTCTCCATGGAAGAAGCAGTGCCACGACTCTGCTACTGTGGACTGGAGCCAATTCGCTTCTCCGTGTCCTCACGCCGTTCCTTCGTCTCCGGGATTCCTCACCGGAAACGCTCTCATCGGATTTGATTTCTTAATTGATTTGATTTCTTAATTCTCTGAATCGAATTGTTGAGTTGTTCGATTTGTAGAACTGATTAACAATTTTGTAGAGTTTCAGATGAGTGGAGATAAGGAGGAGAATACAGAGAAGACAAAGAAGAAGGCTTTGAGAGTCGGTTGTCGGGTTATCGGTAAAGAAGAAGAAGAAGGAATTGCAATGGTGGGTTATGCGTGGACTAGTTTTTGTGGATATAAAATTTTGGACACGTTTTGTGTAGTTATTTTATCCATACGAAAACAATGGATGAACTTAAAAATTGTAGGGTTTGTCAAAGAAGACTTGGAAGTTGTAATCAAATTAACTGACGATAGATGAACATGTGGTTTGGTGTTCTTTGATATATGAGTTCTTACATTTCAGCTTCTGATCATGAATCATTTTGTGACCACTAAGCATTGAGCAAAAAGTTATATACAAACTGACATTGAGTGCGATTGCCTAGTGGGACACGTTAGAGTGTCATATTATCGTGGATACGATCAAGAGAATAACTAAGAGTGATATGTATATGTGAATAGAGCAATAGACATTACATTGAAACATTTATACCATTTTTCATTGTTCATGTGGATACACAATTTGGAATCAACTAGAACATATGAGATTCATGTGAAACATTTTTCATAACATTACCATTACCACCACCGTTTATCCCTTGATCCGAACCACTGATCTTAGGTTACAAATCCCTCTGTATTAGCCATAAGTTCCTCCGCATCGTTCTGTTTCGAATAGAATGCGACATCAGCTGCAGCTCTCATCGCCTCCGCTTGCTTCTGTTTCTCGTAAAAAATAGCTTATGTTTCTTTTTGCCTCTTTTTGATTTTTAAACACTTAAATAGTCTTCACCTTGATCTCTTCTTTGGTTCCTTCTCCTAGTCTCTTAGTAGATATGATCTTAGACTCGACACCAATCTCTGCTGCCTTGGCTTTGTTTGTTGCTTCCATTGAGTTTTTTAACCCAAGTAAGAGAACTACTCATGTCGAGGCACATCAACGAGCTGCTTAACATTAGCATTGTAAATCACAATACCAAACTGATTTAGCTCTAGCTGGAC